AAGATTTATTAATCTCTTAACAGACAGGTCAATTTTTTATGGGAAAAGTTTATATAGAGCCGAGGCTCTAAACAATCAATTTGGAGCCTACCACGAAACTTTTACTAGAAGAGATTTTTTGATGTCCAAATATTCTCAATTTGATCATCTCGATTTTAAGATGCATGGACATGAGAAAAAAAAGGATTTCAAGTTTTGGAAATATGTATTTTGTAACACAATTTTGGACCATCAATTGTCAAGATTTTCAAGTTTTCATAGTTATGTTGATCTACTCTATTTTTGAAGCTTTAAATTTATAAATAAAAATAGAAATATATAAGGTGATCACAAAGGTTTTTAGTATTGAAATTACATTTCTCTATACTATTTGAAGGTTGGCTCTAATTTGATTGTTTAGAGCTTAGGCTCCATACAAACCGCACCCATTTTTTATGCGTCAAAAATAAAATAGATTTTTTGAGACCAGTAGAACCTTACCTTTACAAGTAAGGTTGCCCGTTTATATGAACCACACCCAAAAGAAAAATCTGTTAACATGTTTGAAATAATTATGATAAACAATAGTGTGGTTGACATTATTAGATGGTGCAGTAGCATTTATTAGGTGGGTGGTGATTATAAACACCTTTTAGATATGAACCCTTTCACCCACATTGTGGTAGTGATTGTGATGATTTGCTGCTGTGTTTGTTTGGTATTCATGGTGCAGTACAAAAATGTGAGGCCAGACTACCTCAAGAACATATGGAATGTTATAAATTGGGAGTATGCAGGTGAAGTTTTTAAGAAAGGAGGAGCTTGAGGTAAAGCTTATGTTTTTCACTGCATCTTTTGATTTCCTTGTAGAAAAGAGATGGTCGATGTGAACAGTGTATTAATAAAGCATTTTGCATTGGTGCATCCATTTTCACTTGGCAGAGTCATAACATTTCAGCGCATGAAGTTTTAATTTTACTTTGTTTAAGCATGTTAGTGTATATCAAAAAAGAGACTTAGAATTGCAATGCTGTATTTTTTGCTGTATAATTTGACATCGAGTTTGGGCTGTGGGAGACGGCTCTGGTTGTTTAGCGGGTGGTGGGATTGGTCACCGGGTGGATCGATCTAGATCACTTGTCTATGGAGATCCTGACTGATTATACTATGTGTGAATCATCTAAAAAAATTTTAAAATAACATTTTTAAATTTTTTAAATGAAAAGCAAATAGTGATATATACAGTGGGTGGGGAGCGGGCAAACACTGTTTCACAGAATTGCTCTTCCCTCTGGCTTGCCCATCCCATCCTATTAACAGAACTGATTCCTGGTTTTGGGCAAGATTCATTCTGGGTATCCAGGACTCCAATCTAGATCGACAATTCTTAAATCACTGCTTAAAGAGACCGAGTGGCATAGTTGCTTTTATGGTGTATTTTGATATAAGGTCTGTTGACCTTTAGATTTGAAATTGGGTGATTAATAATGTATCGTTGTTTAGGTACAAAGTCCAAAATAAAATTTTTCGAATATGTGGATCTATGGTACATTTTTATCTATTGGATTTCACATTTTATGACTAAAATAAATGGTCTTATGATGTACAATCTCGGAATATTATAAACACCTTCCGAAGTTAGAAGGGGCCATTATGTTCTTGCGTATGAGATGGTGATCAAAGTACCTGAGTCAAAATTATCTATGGTGAAGCGAAGCTTAACGTGCATTGAAAGCCCTGTACGGTGATCCGTAGGATCGAATACTCTGTAAGCTGAGCATTTGTATTACCTAAAAAGATGTGGACTTCGCTAATCCATGTAAACATAAGACTGCACGTATTACGGGTGCTGTGAAGTTTTCACAAAAGTTGATGAGATAATGTTACTATAAAGAATCTTAGGTTTCAAATAATGTTTACCGATTGCGGTGGATATTGGGGGCGTTCGTGATAAAAGAAGATTTTGAACTCCTAAAAATTTCAAATTTTGGATAAGCTTTCTAGTTTCCATTATATTCAGCTAGATTATTTGTTTTATTTTTATTGTTTGGTTTGATTTTTATCGGTACGGTGGGAATGAAACTCAATATGTTACTCTGGCATACCACGAGTCCCTATTCCTTGGCGGGTTGAGGTTCTATTCATGTCAGAAAACAATTTTCAATACTTAAACTTATGGGAAAGTATACCTTTGATCAGAATTAATTTTGATCATTGGATGTGAAATTGGGTCGGTGCATTTATTTCAAGATATTTTCTCGAATTTTATGACACATCGAAGCTATTAAATTTCACATCGGATATAAGTAATTGTGATTTTTTTATATAAAAATAAAATGGTCTCATTGTATACAATCCCATAAACTAGATATAAAATCCACAATAAAAAAAAAGTACGTTACAAGCGAAAAATGCAAAAATTCACAGGGCAAAAGAAAAATGAAGATAATCGAATTAGATATATATAAAAAGTATACAAACGGGCTGTTTATTTTTAGGAGGTTACAATTATTATTGTCTTTTAGATTTTAGATCTCAAATCTGGTGGTTGTGAACATGTCAAAAATATTTTCAAATCTGGTGGTTGTGAACATGTCAAAAATATTTTCTCAGACACTGCTCAAGCTGGGTTCAAACTTTTATTTTTATTTTGCAAATTTGTGCAAAACCTTGTTTTGTAACTATATGTTTGATGAAATTTACCGTTGACATTAAGAAAAAATGCCATGCACTATCCTTACCTCATGCAAATGACCCAGCTGAGATTTTGGAATCAGGATCCATCCCACCACAAGGTAAATCAATTGTGAAGCTCAAATGCTTTACTTTTTCCTTTCTTCTTTTTCTTCTTCTTCTTCTTTTTCTTTTCCTTTTTTTTTTTTCTTTCTTTCTTCCTTTCTTTTTTTTGTGGCGGTCATATGTTAACAGTGGGATGTCATGTTAACACCAATACCCCAACCCCCATTCTCAGCTCAAAGGCTTCACTCAATCATCATGAGCATAACTCCAGAAGCTGCATTCCATGAAGCAATATCTCTTAGCTGCATTCCATGAAGCAATATCTCTTACTCTTGATCGCGTTAAAGGCATGCAATGATCTTTCCATGCTCCTAATCCTTGAGTAATGGCTCAAAATGGTCATCATCGTCATCAGTTTAGTTTTTTTTCAATTAATTGGGGTCGGCTACATGAATCTTGGTTTTCTTGTGTCGCTTTTGGGAGTTGCCCTACCGTAAGCAGATAGTGTAGGTTTATCATGATTCATGATGGGTTTTGGCAAAAGTTTACGTTGACTGTCTACTTAACACAACTATACCCTTTTATCCGGACATGAGATCGGTTAAGGAAAAATTTAAGGTTATCACCCTTCTTAGACAATAAGGGCTCAAAATGGTATTGGCCACAACTTAATTTATAGCAAGCTATCTCAACAAGCAATGGGTTTCTTTTTTCAGCTTTTAATTATTGTTTCAACCGAATTTAAGTAGCTTTGATAGCTAATAATTTCATATGTTTAAGCAACACCCAAAGTTAATCAGAACAATATCATGAGCTTAAGGTTGAAATCCGTTTCGTTTTAAACTGGTTTTATTCAGTTATTTTTCCCAAATTCATTTGTTGCGGTTAACAGGGTCACTCCAAGTTCTGGTTGCAGTTGAGCTCAAGCACTCCTATCTTCCGATGTGTGCTTAATTCACAAATTTTGTGCACGCGTTTATTCTTCAACACTTGTACTTTCTTTGCTGTATTAACAATGGATCTAATATTGAATTTCTTGTCTATGAATACCTTGATCTTCACATTGAAAAGAGAATTTCTAAGCCAGTGTTCAGAAAATCGATTCAGCCAAGGTGCTCGAGCCCTGGCCGAGGCGATTTACTTGGGCGAGTCCGAGTAACTCACCGAGTCCAGCTCATTCGTTTTTTTGAAGAAAATGAAGATAAAAAGCGGTTATATATAGCATGAGGGAAACTTTTTATCAACCAAACGGTAGATTGGCATGTTGGTTAGCAACCCCTACGCAAATAGATATCCTGATTGAGTTCCATTCTAGTGAGAGCTACATTTTTTTGGGAACGTAAAAAAAATGACTTTTTAAAAGTGGTGTACTATGGGATTCAAATCTATCCGAATTCAAACCCTAACACGGTTGAACTTTATGCATTAGGCCTAACTGGAAAGGCATTCAAGCACATCTAGTTTAAATTTGAGGTACTAATATAATTAAACTAATAAACATGATGTACAGCCTAGTCGCCCATAGGGCGAGGCCGAGTGGATGTGGCCGAGTATCAAAAAGCCGTTTTAAGTTTTTAGAATGAAATTGCAATTTCTGACTAAGGTTAACTACGAAACAACATTTTCTCTTTAATTTCTCAACTAAATTTTCTTTGAGTTTGTTTTCCTAAGTTCGAAAATCGGGTCCCATACCCAATCCAAAAGGGAAAATTACCTAAAAATTATTTGAAAATTTTTTTCCGGTGTTTCGCTTGACTCAGTGGTATCCTAGAAGTCTACTTGTCTACACTCGGTTGGATGTCGGAGATTCTTAGTTGCCGGCGATTAATATCTTGAAGACAAAAGAGAATCTCTTGGCCCACATTCTACTTGAAACACAACCAAAATCATTTTCAAAAAGTTAGTTCGTAATTTTGTGTTTGCTATCTTTGCTGCAGATGAAAACTTGGGTTAGAGATTTTTACTTTTTTATTTTTAGGTAATTCAGTGGGATGACAAGTCCCTACCCGTTTGAATTAGTCAGTGGGTTTTGAAGTTGTCAATAAAAATGAAAACCACAATATGCAAACCGCGACCATTTCAACCCCTTTCTTAGAGGTAAGAGATCTGATAATGTAGAGTTCAACTGGTCAATATAAGGGAAGTTTGCGCCGGTTAATTTTCACTTTTGTGCTGGTTCCTCCAATTTCATCCTTGTAGCCATGCCCATAGTTGACATTCCAACCAAGATACAACTTGATGCTTACAGGGTCAAGTAAGCTGCATACACTCTAAGGAAGTCATGAACTCAAAATCAACTGTACAAATTAATTGAAAATATCTAAAGATTCAAAAATTTGGTCCACTTGTTTCCATTCTTTTAAACTTTGTAATAAAATGAAAAGTAAGACCTATATGATCTTTTCCCAGGAAATAATATATATATATATATATATTTATATCATTTTTTTTGTTTTGGCAAAAGATCACTTACACTTAAGTCTTATTATAACAACATATACTTAAAATAAAATCAACATCGCAATAAAACCAAGATCTTAAAACTTGATGCCATTGAAATAACTATGCATTATGCTTGAGAATAAAAAATAAAAAAAAAAGATTGCAAGAAATAAAAGAGAAAAATGTCGAAGATTACCTCAACCGGGCTTATTACACCCTATACCAAGTCATCACTAGCTGATGGCACGGGATTGACGATCTTGCTTCAATCTCAAATTGAGAAAGTAAGTTTAGTCCAAGTCGCACTACTAGAACGTGAATCACTTTGATCACAAACTCAAACCCTATATGAATTCCCTTAGCAACCTAGTTTGAGAGAGAGATATTCTCTTTTTGCTAACTCTAAAGACCATTAGCCATAAATCCATAGTTGAGATATAGGACAGAAAAGAATTTCATGACTTAAACCCTTAGGTTCTTTCACAAGATGGGAATGAAAGATCAAATATGAGAGAGATAGAAAGATAAGGTGTAGAGATTTTGGATAAAAACAATACATTTTTTATAGGCTTCAATAAGATTACGGTTTCTTAGTGTTTTCTTTGGCTTGCCTCTTCTTGTGAGATTGAACATAGACCGTCGATCAAGGGTAACTTGTGGGGTAAGAGATCTAAGACATCTATTCCATAGATGGGCCATCAACATTATGGAATGCGTATGAACCATTATCTCTATTTCCTAAACCATTTTCCCATCAATGAAAAATAAGTTAAATTAATTTTAATTAAATATTGTGCATTCCATAAAATAAAACATCTCTACACATATTTTCCATAAAATATATCAAAGATATGTCAAGTCAATATCTATTTCCATATTAAATCAATATATGGTCAATACATACTCAATCTATAATTTGACTACATGTAAGAATTTAAAGTTACCAAAACATAAGGTCACATGGACCACAAAACAAAACTTTCTATTAAATAAAAAGTAGTAAGAGGTGGAGCATGCCACCCATGGGAGGCACATGTGGGCCCCACCTTCTAAAAACATGGTGGGCCCATGCGCACAATGGGCCCCCATGATTATTTTTTTATGCATTTAAAATTAACAAAACACTTTTTAGTGAATAATAAAACATTGTAAAATCAATATCTTTAATTTTATAAATCAAAAAATTATAAATAAAATATCCAAATGTTCATAAAAATTCAAATAATAATTCTCAAATAATCATTATCATAAAACAAATACAATTAAATTAATTTGATGGAAAATTGATCCATATGATTTAGGAAATGAATCAACAATCATAGGGCACTCTACCTTCAACTATGGACTACGGACCACACTTACTTTATCAGACTGACCTAGTGTTTCCCATAACCCACAGTCCAAACAGGGGCTCATTAATGGGTCACCAAAGTCTGATCGATGAGCCAAGAGGTCGCAGTCCCAGTCTGTAGATTCAGGCCCTCCCCTAGAGACGAGTCCAGGTCACGAAGACCTGATGCGACCACAACTCTATGGCGCATAAGGGGATCTCTCATACATACATACACTTCACCCTAAAAGATGGATTTCTGGTTTTCCTAAATGATCTATCGATATGCATGCCGTGTAATGGCAAATGGATAAGGTTTTGGCCCTCATCTCTATAGGCCACCATCACACACAAGGGTCACATAGTCCCTCAGCTCACTCATCCGGGCATGTTCTCCGACCTCATCAAGGGCTAACCCATGAACCTTCATCGATTTGTTCTTCATGCTAAGGTAACATGGGTTTGTTCAAACCGACTGGCCTAGATCGTCAAGCACAGTTCGATATCTACAAACATCGTTAGCATGGTATGATCCACGAGGGATCACACTTCCACTGAGTTCATGTTCCACTATCTTATTTCGTTTTACAAAGACTCGTAAAGCCCTTAAAAGCCACATAAACCCAACATAAAATACATAATTAGGCAAAAAATATCATAATACACTTTTCAACAATTTAACAGTTTATTCCTTTCCAAGTTTTCAACTTAGTCATGTGCATGTCAATAGGTATTTTGGAATTAAATTAAGGGCATTTTATCGAAATGCCTATGAGAGAAGAACAGTTCCAACATTCTACCCATATTGTTTGATTTAGTTTCACAATATGTATCAAAATACATATCATCATGAGTTGAAATTGTTGCAGATATGTAAAATATTAAAGTGAAATTTGAAATTTGTAAAATATCTATATAAGAATGAAGTATTTAACATTTTATTCATATAGTTTGATTTAATTTCAAAGTACCCATCAAAAGACAAATGAGTCATGAGTTGGAATGCGATAAATGAGTAAAGAGGAATGATTTCATGCAACGATTGTATAATAGTATGAAGCAACCACATATCTAAAAACCATGTTTTTGCCATTTGTATGACCCCAAATTTTGCTTACACATTATTTTCACCCTCATGATCAATCTTACGAAAAAAAAATCAATTTGCACCCTAGATATGGTCAAAATTAGTACCCTTCAACAATGAATCTCAACCGTCCATTTGGTGAATTTCAAGATCTAGGCCTTGACAAATTCAAAATCATTTTTTTCCTTTTTTAGCATTAGTAATCTAATGATGATAACACTATATAAAAATTTTGGGCATAAAAATATCTTTATGAGTCCTATATCTAACCATCTCACTAAAATGGATGGCTTATATGAATTGGGCTAGAAAAACACTATCTACGGCATTTTTTCAAAATTTTATTTTTTGTGATTGTTCTTTAGAGTTAAAAGAATGTACGTTTAAAAATTTGTATGAAACAAATGTTTCAAACATGGTTTTTGAAGATGGTTGCATTATACTACTATACAACCGTTGAATGAAATCATTCATCACGAGTAAAATATTAAATAGTGCATATCTCATAGGTATTTTAATAAAAAATTTAACATTAAATACTTTTTTTTTTGACAATATCCTAAATTTTATTAAAATGGAATGCGGTTACAAATAGTATAACATTAAATACATCTCTTAATGATATTTTGCTAAAATTTCCTTGAATCAAACATTGAGTAAAATATAAAATACTGGCCTCTAATGTGTATATTGATAATTTCCCTGAAAAACAAATCACAAACATGTTTGTAAGGAAAAGTGTATTGTGCTTAAGGGAAGCAACTCTACATTAGCGTTTCTCACCAGGCATCCGTCTTAAAGACAAATACAAAAATATAGTGGTTTCACCAAAAGAATAAAATTAATAGTAAAAAATAATTATTCCAAAAATATTATCATTAATTTTTAAAAATGAGTTTACATATTAATGATCATCATACTATCAATTATACATTTTTAATCAGACTTATATATATACCATTTACTTTTGATACGACAAGATGACAATTAAATTTAGAATTCATCTCAAACATGGATCATGGCGGGAGGATGCATGTCAGCCGCTGGACTCATATACTCCGTGTCCTTTTTGTAAAGACCGGAGATATAATGGTCATTTGAACTTGTATAATTTGTTAGACCTTTTCGGAGCATAAATATCAGTTATATCCCCCTCTCTCTCTTCTATCCTTTGGAAACCCTAGAAAGACACTCTCTCTCATCCTTCCACGTTCATATTTAAGCCCTGCCTCTCTCTCTTCTCTCCTTTGGAAACCCTAGAAAGACACTCTCTCTCTCATCCTTCCACGTTCATATTTAAGCCCTGCCTCTCTCTCTCTCTCCTTTGGAAACCCTAGAAAGACACTCTCTCTCTCATCCTTCCACGTTCATATTTAAGCCCTGCCTCTCTCTCTCTCTCCAAGCCCTAGAACGGTTCCCTTAATCATCTCATCCAGTGAGAGAGAACCGGCTACTGCAAACCCTAATTCACTCCAACCATGGTGAGCCGCTCCCCCTGCCTCCCTACCTCTCTATCTCGCTCTCGCTCTCGCTCTCGCTCTCGCTCTCTGAAATGAAGTTTTATTGTTTTTGCAGACGTTCAAGAGGAGGAATGGTGGTCGTAACAAGCATGGACGTGGCCATGTCAACTTCATCCGCTGCTCAAACTGCGGCAAGTGCTGCCCTAAGGTTCATACCATAAACCCTAAAACCCCCTTCTTTGAGCTAGTGATTTGGACCGACCTTTTATTTGATTTATTTTGCGTAGTTTTATTAATTTACTGATGAAATCATGATAGATCCTTCTGAAAGTTTCTATTTCTTTATTCTGTCTCTTAGTTTTCTTGTAAGAGATTTATTGATTGAAGAACTTGTGATATATTCCGTCTGAGAAATTCCTTTTTCTTTTTCATTTGTATTGCATATTGATTAATTGACGAAATCATTCTAGATCTTGTTGAAAAATTCCTCATTTTCTTCGTTTTAGGACAAAGCCATAAAGAGGTTTCTGGTTCGTAACATAGTCGAACAAGCTGCTGTTAGAGATGTGCAAGAGGCATGCGTTTACGATGGTAAATCATATTCTTTTAAATGGACTGATATTCTGTAATTTTTTCCATTCTGTGTGATGTTAGCACTTGGATGAATCTGACTTTTATTTATTTATTTGGGTTTTGTTTCTACTTTTGATTCTCCTTTGGATCCCCATTTATGAGAGCCTTTTTCTGTTCTTTACTCCTTTTGGTTGATTTTTCTTCTTGTTTTTTTGTATTGAATTAAAGATGGTTTGGAAATTGAATGCCTTTTTAATTAATTAATTTATTTTTCATATTGTAGTTGTGTTTTTTGTCGACCCCAAATAGTTGAGATAAGGCTCAAATGATGATAAAGATGATGATACTGATTGTTGTAATTGTGTTCTTTCGTACTTTAGGATTTCTTCTATTCTTTTATAAGATATAGGAAAAAGCACAAGAACATGTCAACACAAGAAAAAATAAATCTTCATTACCTAAGAATTTTTCTTTCTGTTTTTTGATTCCTTGCCATTTTTCTCTCTTTTCTTTTTTTTTATTTTTGGGTTTTTTAATTTGTGACTTTGTTGATTTGAGCTCATTTTCTTTACTTTTGGCTTTTCTACTCGGGGCCGTGGTTTGTTGCTGCCTTTCTCCATTTGCTAGAATTGGCTTCTTTAGCCATTATATTGGCTTCTTTAGTCATTATATCATGTGCACTATTTTTATGTTCCATCCATCGTTTTTGCAAGTGGTATTTTCTTGCTTATTCATCCCCTCGTTCTTCTTTGTAGATTTAGATTTTTTTCATGTAATTGTTTATTTATTTCTGCTTGTCATTTTACTTTGCTTTGAAGGCTATACTCTTCCAAAGCTCTATGCAAAAATGCAATACTGTGTTTCTTGCGCCATCCACTCGCATGTGGTTCGTGTGAGGTCTCGCACTGATAGACGTAACCGTGAGCCCCCTCAGCGATTCAGGCGCAGGGTATGCCCTTAATTACCTTCTTTCTCTTTACTGATTTTATTTAATAATGAAAAGAATTATGGGTTATTTGTACATGATTCTCATATTTCCTTTTATTTCTAGCAATGGAGTAATCTATTTATGCCTTTATGATACTGATAAACGTAGAGAATGATAAATTTAAAGTTTCTTTGATCAAATACATGACCATTACTATAGCTGATGTACTTAGTGGGATTGGCATTGGGGATAGGCTCTAGGCAGAGGTTTTGAGGGTGGTAGGTGCCACTATATAATGTTAGAGTTCCATTCTCACCAGTTCCCAAGTTAACATTCCCCTTTTATATTAAAACAAAAATGTGATTAGTGTTATATTGGTCTCTTAAATAGGGGGCGTTATGCTAGCAGACTAGTTATGTCAATGTGGAGTAAATCATTGTTAAATAATTCTTTTTTTTTTCAAAATGGTGCGATACTGAGTTGTTTGGGTAGTTTGTATTTTCTTAAGATAGTTTTCAAACTTTTGCTCTTCATATTTTCATCTACTCTCCATGTCTTAGTTTGGTATGCTGATGTATCCGGATTATAACTTTATACATTTCTATGGATCAGATTTTTGTATTAAATCTGCAGGTTGTGATTGGTGTCATCCTCTTTCTTGTTAGTTAACTTATACCAAACATTGCTTTATTGGAGTTGAACATGACTATTAGTGATATTGGAAATGACTGATACTTCGGAAATATGTTTTCGAGTATTTTCATGGCGCATATTCACTCTGATCACCGACCAGACCTTGCAAGAGGCAAATCATTTGTGATTTTGGTCTTCTCCAAAAGATGGTCTTGGTAATCAGGTGTTCCGAAAGACCTTTTCAAAAAACCAAAAAAAAGGGTGTTCCAAAACAAAAAAAGTGGAGAATTGTGAGAGAATAGAAAGCGACTGCACTGGGGCACATGTTTTTGTATAATTCTGCAACTACTCACACTTATTTTAACTTATAAAAAATAATTTGACTTGAACTTTCTCTCTTATACAAGAACAAAAAACAAAGTTCCAATCTTGCATATCTATGCCAGGCTTTGAGGCATTAATAGCATCCATCAACAACCCAATTTGATTTGTAGAGGCCTTGTGGTTCTTGTTTGGTAACTGGTATTGATTTATGTAATAGGCTGTTTGTTCTGCATTAGTTCTAGGGGTGTGAACAGGTTGGGTCAACCCTGATCCACCAAGTCTGGTAGGGTGGTCTAGATTGAAATTAAATTAGGAAATATGCAAAACATATTAGTAAATTCTATTTTTTAAGCATACATAAATATATTACATATATTTTGCGTAGACATCTTGAGTGGACTTTGTTTGGTCTAACCTCGATTGCACCCAACTTCACTTCAGTAGATTTGGGTTGGACTGGATATACCTAGTCAGGTCCAGGTCAAGTGGACCCAAACCCAACTCACTAGGTCCAGATCTGGATGGTAGGTTGATCGACTGGCTGGGGGTTTGATCGGGGGATGGGACTGGGTCCACCTGACCTGGGCCCAATTGGGTTTAGGTCTACTTTGGTCTGGACCTGGTCTGGACCTAATTAGGTCGGGTTGTGTCCTGCTTGAGGTTGACCCTAGTTGCCCAACTAATACTTATAAATTGGAAAATATGAAATGTGTTTTCTATGACTTAGACCCTACCAGATATGGCAGGCCAGGTCAAGGTCGATCTGACATGTTTACACCAATTGTTTTTCTTTTTTTTTGAGAAATGTTATGTTTGTGTTTACACTGATGGTTACCTCGAAGGTCATTAACTCGTTCTCATGTTATGCATTTGTTCATCTCTCTCATGCATTCATACACAAGCTCACACATAATCATGGGGATTGTAATTATTCTGCATTATTAAGCCATGAGGAGTCGACATTAAATTAGAATAGGATAGGACCCTACCTAGAGAGAGTTGTATATCTATAATGCAAGACTTCGTAGAGTGAGTGTTTTAGGTGGTCTCTCTCTAGTCCTGGTTTCTCTCTAATCCAATTGTAATTTGTGAAGGCAAACTTCCTTGATCAGGGACATCCTATTTTCATCTTTCTATGCTCTCTCTAATGCCAGTCTTTTTTAAATCGAAACCCAAAGAGCAGTTTTTTTTTACCCACAAAAAACCGCATATATTCATCCAAAAGCTGTTTTTCCAATTATGGATTCTTTTTATATCATTATTTACTGGAAATACAATTCCATGCCATAAGTCAACAAAGGTGAAGTTAAGTGGGCATTTTATCTCTATGGATTTTACTGCATCTGCAATCCACTAGTTGAAATTACGTGCTGGTGATTTTAGCGTTTGTGTAGGTATTGAAGACATTGATAGTTTGTCTTTGCCTTTTCCTTCATTTTCTCATTCTTTTGGGATGTCTTTTCAGGATGATGCCCCCAAGCCTGGACAAGCTCCTCGTCCAGCAGGAGCTGCGGCTGCTCGACCATGATGAGTTTGCTCTCTCTTCGGATTTGATCAGTTTTCTAGGCTTCTTCATTGCAATGAGAAACCATATTTTTGTTTAAGTCGTTGTTAGGGGTCCTTATATGTTATTTTCTCAAGAATTGTCTTGATAGCTTTGGATTTAATGTGCTTTTGGATTTATACGCATGTGACTTGAAAACTACCAGCTGTGAATTTCAATCTTTTCCATATCATTCCTTCGTTTCTATCTTTTCCAAATCATTCCTTTGGGTTTTTGTGGGTTTTTGAGTTACATATTTATGTGAAAATGTCATTGAAACGGTTAAACCAAATTATACTAATTACAAAGCAACAAACTAGAAAATCTCTATGGTGTATAAACTAATTCACCAATAAAATGGTTACTTTTAAGGATGTCATTTAAATCTCAATTATTTTTAAAATTGTTCAAGAAAAAAATTTGTTCAATGTGTTCAAATCTTGAATAAGCGTGGAGCTAAAAACAAGAGATTTTAATGAATGTTGTGTTTTGGGTCTGAAACTAGGGCAGAGTTGGGGTGGTTCTATTATGGTTCGGGTCTTTTGAGCTGAGCCAAATGAATACTATTCCCCTAGTCGTTTTTAAGTTTTAAAATCTGGAATTATGGATTTTATAAAGAAAACAGGTATTAGGCTAACAACTTATGGTAAGTAGGGATATTTATGCTCTTTATGGCCAAACTATCAAAATACATTTTTCTTGGCTTTTTTGTTTTGGGGAGCAGTTTGTATAGAGCCGACATGAAACCACCGCATTTAAATTTAAGCCACATGAAACCACCGCTTTTAAATTTAAGCCATTTTAGCCTCTTCCTCTTCCACCCCCTACCTACCAAAAAGAGCCTAAATTTTGTGAGAAGAGCTCTGTTTGCTCCGCATGGAGTAGGGTTGAAATTACAGGGTTAATTCGTCCTAGGTCGAATGTAGTGATTGGACCCATGCTGATCATGCTTTATTAATAGCACGTTCCCTATAGATTACAGACAGTAAAGAGTCGTTAAAGAAAGAGGATGGAAAATAGACATTTGTAATGCGAATTAAATGATGGGATTTAGAGAGGAGAGGGTGGCAAATAGATATTTGGTATGGAAATTAAATTATGGGATATCTTTAGTCTGCATCTTCTAGAATTCTAACAGTGAGGAAGAATTCTAGAATTCTAACACCGAGGAAGAATGGCAACGTCAGTGAGGAAGAATTCTAGAATTCTAACAGTGAGGAAGAATGGCTAAGGGACATCTATCACAAAGAAGTCACAAGTCACTAAATTTTGGATTTAAGATATCCACTATTTAGATTGGGAGTAGCATTAGAGAACACGAACAATAAACAGAACCCGGCCATGGCCCTGGTCCAGATAACCCAGAACCAGTCCGGTAACTGGCCATAACTAGGTAGGTTTTGATCAGGCTAAAAAAGGCCAAAAAATATAACAATCTCAACAAATTCCAAAAAATATGTTAGAAGTATAATTAAATAAAATACATCCAAATGGTATTAAAGAAGCAGTGAAAAAATGGATTTTGAAAAATGAAGGGTAATTTTAGAAATGAAAAAAACTTATATAAAGATGCGGCCCCAATCAATCATGTTAAGGCACACCTCAAAAATTCACTAGAAGTTGTTTTGATGCCCAATAATCCTCAAATCAATCATCTCTACCTCAAGAGATGTATAGATATTAAAATAATAAATTTTAAGTCTTGAAAATAGTGCTTCTTATAATTGCATTTTCTAGACCGTCAATTTCTGAAGCTTTAAATTTATAATTAAATATGAAAACAAAATTTTAAGATATCGCAAAAATTTCCAATACTGAAACATCTTTCAATACCATTTGAATGTGCATCTTACTTTGATTGTTTAGGGCCACGGCCTTTTACAAACCACACTTTAAAAATAATTAAAAAAAGATACTCTTTAAAAATAATTAAAAAAAAATAGGACAATGTAAAAATGAGTATTTATAACCACTATACTTCTCAATCTCCTTCAAACAATAGAAAAATTTTAAAAAATGTATTTCAAAGAATTTCCCATTTTGTGAGTTTTTTTAATTTTTTAAGTTAGGTTGGTCAAACCAGTTGAGCACCCTAACCAGCCAATACCAGCCACAGCTAGTGGCCGATTCCAGGTTGACCCAGCCGGTTTTGCAAACAGGGATTGGGAGCTAATGGAGAGACGAGATTTCTTTTTCCTCATACCCCGTTCTGATTGAGAAAATGAGAGAGAATTGAGAGAGAATGGAAAGAGAAAAGAAACATGAAAGTTCCACTTTCCCTGTTGACTTTCCGTGTTGAAATGGATCCGAGATCTGAAAGGCTCTAGTTTTCTTCTGCCCCAAAGAAAGTAGCATTTTTCCCAAAAGGATTACACATTTTCTTCCATTTGATCCAAAAATGCGATGTCATGTTCTCTCCCTCTTTCTATAGACTCTCTTAAATATCAGTTACATGTTTTTCCTATCTTCAAGAGCCTCTCTTGCATATCAGTAACATTGCTTTCTCGATGGATTGCCTTTGCTTCCTTTTCACATATGGTGACAAGGTTCTGTCTTCTAGAATACATGAAGCAGGCCCATATTCAGTTCTCTTTCTCCCTCTCTCATGTGAATGGCACAGTCGAGCTGAGCCTGCATCCAAGGTAGCAGTGAACCTTCGGGTTTTCGGGTTTTCGGGTTTGGTTTAATGTCCTTTGAGTTGTTTCGCAAACTGAATACAAGTGGTCATCGGGCAGTTTGTCTTGATAGCATTGGCTTCAATATGTGACCTGCTTACTGCAAAGCCCTCCTGAAATGTAAGAAATTATTGTAGGTCAAACTTCTTAAATTCATTACCGTAATGTTCTCATGTCTCTACCTCATGGTACCTAAATTTTGATAATGCTGGGTTATTAATCCTCCAGAAGCAATTGGGGGCCTTTCGCAAAAAAAAAAAAAATTGCTGTACAGCTAATACAGAATAATAGCAACTGGTACCTTAATTCTATCCTCGTTGGTTACTGAAAGAAAGAAGTAATGCAAAATGCAAATCGAAAATGAAGAATGATGGAGAACAGATGACACCAAATACCTGGTGGAGTATATTCATCATGGCATTGACCCCAGGTGTGTTCAATTTTGCTCGACGAGACACCTGAAAAATGAGGGTATGGAAGCAGCCAAAGGTAACGAACAACCAAATATCAAAAAAATTTAGAATTTTGATAATATCTTTACCTATTTACCTTTTAAAACTTATACTTTTCTTTTATAAAATTTCAGGCAATATTGAAGCTTTAAACCGTGGGTTCACATGCTTATTGAGGTAACGAAATGCTAACCTCATCAAGCTTGATGTACCCAAATGGCAATCTGGGATCGCATTCAGCGAGCATCATTTTCATGAGCTTTTCTAAATGGGTGTCCCCAGAATCCGGGCCTATCCACCCCCATTGATTGGCCAAATCTAGCATATTGTTTATAGTGACTGGTTCATGAAGGGGGCCCGTCCAGAGTGGCCCCGAAACGACCAGTGAGTGAGAAACCTGAGAGAGTCCAAGAAAATGCTGGATGAGAGCTCTTGCAATGAGTGAGAGAGAGAGAGAGAGAGAGTCCCCATGTGAAATGACTGTGTAACAAACACAAGACAGTCTCACATGATTGTTGCTACAAGCGCAACACATTTGCCCAAGGTCATCCCAAGAAAATGCTTGAGAGTCTCCACACTTGTTGCAGTAGCTGATGAATCCATAGTGGCTGAAAGATGACAAGAGAAAGATTTTTGATAGATGCATGAATCATTCTAGGTGCTCTAACTATATATCCCAATGGGTGCTCTCTCTCTCTCTCTCTGTTTTTTTTTTTTGTGTGTGTGTATACATGTGTATGCGCGTGCACGCCCGCCCAAAATATGTATAGATATATACACTTGGTCCCACTTGGATGGCCCAACAAATCGAATGAGAGCATTGAGATACTGAAGGAAAATTAGTTATCTGTTACTAAAAAATACACTATCAAGAGGTTCCCACGAGAGAGAGAGAGGTATACAAGGACCATGGGTTTTACAGAGACCACAACTTGCAGGTAGCCCACCATTATTGCATAACCCAAGATGACAAGGTAGAATATTATGAGTGTTGTGCTTCCAAGTCTTGCCAATGAATGGAAGGTTAATGAAGATGGGTCTGAAAAAACTAAGGGCCAATACCAAAAGAGGTGAATAGAGCTTGTGGGTGAGAATGTAATCCTCAAAGTTGAGTGAGAGATATACAAGAGCGAGAAACGATCTAATTCAGGCAACACTAGTACGAAGGTGTTGCCCAGCAAAGCTAATCTTTTAGGGCCCCAGGAATGGTTACAACTTACAAGGGTCTGGAAGACCACTGATCCAGCAAACTGTAAGCCTCTAGAAACTAGGGACCTCTTATTCATACTGTGTTCATGGAGGGAAGCATCTCATATCTTGAAATGGAGACCACTCAAAAGGGTAAAAAAACAAACCTCTTACCAAATTTGGTCCACTCAAAAGATGCCTCGTAGTCTCACCCAAGCCGTAATGGCCAGGATCCAATACCGTTATATAGCAGAAATGGCAGTAATAATGAGACAAAAAAGGAGAAAAAGCAGAAAACAGTGAGAAATGACATTTTCCTTGAAATAGAAAAACTTTATTTTACTCAAAACAAAAAGGACATTATTTGAAAACGCCTGACCTTTTTTTTAAATGAAGGCATTGCCATTATAAACCATAATTGACAGAACTGTTATTCTTACAGTAACAATCATAATTGACCGAGCAGTTATTCTTACAGTAACAATTACAATGGACATGAGCATTGTTTTTGCCTTTTTTAAACCATGGTCTAACCTCTCAGGAAGCTTTCCACGCTGCACTCGAAGCATAACTCTGAATATGGGGCCATGGTAAGAATAATACGAGAAAAGAGGCAATATATAAAAGCCCAATGTTGCAGCTTCCCTCACAGCCCCACCTATAAGCATTCGCAAACCAACCTCATTTGCATATGGAAAATGCCGAACATATGCTCCATATGAAGCTAAAGTGCTAAAGAAAAAAACAGCAGTTACACATCTCATGATAAGAATGAAGTATGCAAACCAAACCAAAAAGGGAAGGGGGGGGTGGAAAGTGAGGAGAATTTCTGAGAAAAGAAAACCAAAATGGAGAATAACTCACAACGAAGGTCACAGTCAAAATTCACAATCATTTAAAATCATTCGTTTCTTGATCAGAAATAAAGTAATTCAATCATACCCAAAGGAAAAGTAACTGCATCAAGATTAAATGTGGCCTATTGCTTTTTAGATGAATCTTATAGCTTGATGCCAGGTTTGAGGGTTTGGTACTGGTACTGGTACTGCTATAAGTTCTTTAATACCAACTGTGATACATTTCAATGTTGAGTGTGACACTAGATATTCTTATAAGTCAGTATCAAATCTGATACTAGATATTTGGTCAAATTTAATATGAAATGTGATACAGGATATTCGATCAAATCTTCAAATTAACAATTTACAGTTATTTGACCATTGAGACATTTGCCTAATTGGAACACCAAGTTGGAGAAATGGCATTCCCTCCTTTCATTTTCCTATTTTCCTGGTCTTGATGTATGGTGCAGCCAAAGGAATCTACGGATAATATTGATACGTGAATGACATTGTCCTTGGTATCTTACATAGTCATATACCAGAAAAAGAAAATCGAATCTAAGAATCACAATCTGATATTATTAACTATTCAATCATCATTAGTGGGGACCAGGGTGAATTCAATCCTAAATCAAAATTACTCGCTAAGGTCAAAGCCACCATATTGCCTGTAGTTCCCCATGTAGGTCACTACTCACACTAGCAAGCAAATAAATCTTTTCATCCTTTATCAGGGAGGGGAGAATCGTCAATTATCAAAAAAATTGACTATTCAACAGGGGAATATATTGCTTTTACTCACTCCAGAAGGTGAAATGATTCCTAAAAATCTCAACAAAAAAAAAAGACGATAGAATCCCAATTAATAATAAAAAATTCCAATGCTAACAAATCCAGCTCTGAAAGGAATTTAGTAAATTCACTTACTGATAAGGGCGATGGCCTCCAGATGAATACCCATCCGTAGAAGTAATATACATCAAACCCCCAAGCTTCATTGAAGAGAAAGCTGATTGCAAAAATGTAGTATCGCTACCAAAAGAATCAATATCAATAAGATCGTAGTAATCCCTCTGCAAATACCTCTCAACCAGTAACCTAGTAGCATCAAAATGGGTCACAACCCACCTTCTATCTTCAAATCCAATGTTTCTCTCACTAAAATTGTCACATCCTCTAGACCCATCTCTACCATCTTCTCTTAAAACCCCACTACCTTGAGAACAATTGTGACCATCTTCTCTGAAAACCCCAATTTCGTGAGACCGAGAAAACCCATCTTCTCCAGAAGGCTTGCTTTGAGAATGATCATTGCAAAGGTTAAATTCTTGAGAACCATCTTCTCCAAAATCCCTAATTCTCTGAAATTCATCGTACCCATCATCAGAAACCCCAATTTGAAGAGACCCATTATCAAAAACCCTATTTTTCAGAGACCCATCTGACCCACCATTTCCATCTCCTCCATAACCCCTACTTTGGTGAGCTCTATCAAACCCATGTTTCCAAAACCTATGTTCTTGCTTAAGATTGGAGAGAATTGTGTTCCTTTGCTCTTCATTACCATCATTAGCCCACACAAAATCAGCATTTGCTTGAGAAAGATACCTTAAAGAACGAATTCCACAACCGCACATAGCATCCAAAACTCTGAGATTTCCCTTGGTTTTCTTGTAAAGAGCAGCAGCAAGAACACCAAGGTCTCTACCTGCGCAACTCTCATGCCGGAAAAATGAGTCACCAACAGTGAATTTGAGGCCTCTCTCTGTGTGTGAATTAGGGATGGGGCTAGCGTTAGGGATAGGGTTTTGTTTGGGGATTTTGGTTGGAGATTTTGGAGTGGGTGCTGGGGGAAGAGAGGAGGGATGAGGGGAATTTGAGAGGTGGGAAATTATCATGGTGGAGGGAAATGAGGCTTAGTTGGGATTTTGGGTTTTTGAAGTTTACAGACGCACACGAGTATCTCTCTGTCTCTTCCCTTCTTATATACTATGCTCTCGCTTGAGCATAGTGTATATCTACGACCTCAGCTAACAGACCTGCAAGGGAGGATTTTTTATTTTTTATTACCTTAAATTTTAGAAATTGATTATTCTCAAAGGGAAAAAAAAATCGAAATTTGAATTTTCTACTACTTACATTTCAACTTTTAAAATTGGGCAGTCTTTATTCAATCTTGAGGTGTTATTTATTTTTCAAGTGCATTGAGGATGTAAATAAGATTTTTATTTTCTTTTTCTAATTGAAGTTAATCTATGAGTTGAAGAAACTTGGGGTCTTGAAATTAAGTACTAAATAGGGTTTTACTTGAGGAAGTAAATGGACAGTATGCTCTTTACTTGGGTATAATATTTTTTTGGAATATGAAGCCGGCTTGAAATGACTTCAGATAAACCAAGGGTCATCTATGCTAACGTTATTAAGCCAAGGTTGAAGGGTGAAGACAATAAGAAAGGAGCTTATGACTAGAGAGATTTTAGAGCACATGACCTTCAACAAGAGAGGTGATCTTTGAAAGAGAGGGAGACAAAGGTGATATTTAAAGGGGAAAGGGAGAAAGTGATGTGAAATTTGAAGTAGCGTAGGAAAAATTGAATTGGAATGGTAACAGGATGTGGCCCGAAAGCGGGCGGTTAAATCGGCTTAACTGGTATACCGGCCCATACATCCATTCTAACTGAACAAGTCTTGGGTGGTAAAAATTTTTTAATAAAATATGAAAATTATATTTAAATAATGATTAAACAAAGTATATCCAAATAAAAAAACATGGATTTTAAAGAAGGGTGTAGCTTGCATGTAAAGCTTAAACAATCCAATTAAGGCGCATCTCTAAATTTTACCATATAAATATAACTTTAATATAAATTTTTTTTTGGATGGGTTGAGAATCTATTTTCATCTCTAATTATAAAATTTTGAATTCTAAAAAATAGTTCAAATCAAATAAATCTATAAACACATGAAAATCTTGAAAATGGACCGTCCAGTTAATGTGTTGCAAGATACACTATTTTACGGATTAGATCTTTTCTTCTTTTCATATTCATGTGTCTTGATGTCTACATGAACAATTAGAGGGTTTTCCAATATTCAAACAACTTTTTATTATGGATTTTTCAGGTGCATCTTTAATTATGTAACCTTATATAAAAGGTTTTATTAGGGGTATTTTTGAAATTTTTTGAAACAATGGAAAATGTTTGAAATTTTTTAAAACGATGAAAAATGTAAAAATAAGTATTAATGGCAAAAAAAATTTACAGTTTTTTTCATAATGATGAAAAATATTAAAAAATACATTATAAAGAAAATCTTTTATTTTTTGAGATTTTATATAAATTTTTTGAATTTTTTTTTAAAATATCAAGCCGGTCACCAAAACCAACCGAAACCTGCAATTGCAGGTTCCGATCTAAATACGCGTTACTGGTTAAACCACTGGATTTTTCCTTCAATGATTTTAAGAGGATGGGGATGAAGATAGAGACGTGATCCTTGAGGGGATGGAGAAGAGTGAGGAGAGCAAGGAGCGACATGATCTTTGAGAGAGAGAGAGAGAGAGAGGAGAATACACGAGAGATGTTGTGGAGAGAAAATTAAGGATGGTTGAGGAAACAGAATCTGAATATTTAAAATTTTAAAATCTAAATAAAGTGAATGGCATACATGAATTATAAATTATCCCTATATGTGTTTTTGGAAAGAATGATGATGAGTCCCTCGCAAAGAGCCCCGTTTTTTAATCGTTTTGAAGCTTCTGAATTATTTTTCACTGCATTTACACCACTAATCCAACCCTCTTTCAAGAAATTGGGCAGGCAAAGGTAACATGCGAGAACCAAATATCTCTTCTCTCTCTC